CCCCAAAACCCCAAAACCCCAAAACCCCAAAACCCCTAAAAGCTGAGGCTTTATTGAAGATAGGCTGACTCTAATAATCACCAATTCTTTATGACTATTTAGTCACTTTTCCAAGAGAGTTCCTTATCATATCGATCTGAGACCTGATTAATGAACTGGTCAGAGCAGGGTTCTTCCTCCTATACCATCTCTTGTGGTTCTCTGGAGCCAGGAAACTCTCTAGATCAGTCAAGTGATCTAAGAAGAGTCTTTGGTACTGTGCCTTTGTCAATCATTGGAGTTTACTTTGCCTTTCTTTCTCATGGATCGAGATGAGATTTCAAATTCTATTAGGATGTTCAAAATTTAAGCTCTTAAGAATAAATTAGAGTGAGCTACTTACCGAGAAGAGCTTGTTCGAGAAATAGGTTTAGCTTGCTTCATTTCAGAAAGGCTGGGTCTAGCAGTGTTGAGTCTAGATTTCACAACTGTCCTCTTCTTGCATTCTTGTGGCATGTTTTTAGCCATTGTGTTTACTTTAGACTCTCTTATTGGTCGAAGCGGGGGCTTCTGCCTTTGCCCAGAAGGTAAGACCTTTGATGACTGTGACCTTCTAATCTTTCTGTAATACTCTAAACTAGTAGGTGTTATCTTCTCTTCTGGAATATACTCAGTAAATTTTTCAGCAGTATTTTCAAGCTTATTTTAGTGCCTTTAGAGGTATTCTGGAGACTTCTAGGGAAACTTCATTATCTGTCTTTAAACTTAAAGATTGTTTTGTAATGGTTCTTTTCATATTCTTATTCTCAAGAGGTTCTGTATCAATATGAGGGCTTAACTTTTTCCGATTTTTACTCCTCACAATGTTTCTTATTTTACCTCCAGCCTCTTGTTTATTTTCTTCACTGGAATTTATTCAATCGGATTGTAAAATTATGGGATTTTCTTCTTGGGAAGCTTCTATTAAGGCATCTTTTTGTGCTAAGCCATTTTGGTTCTGATCTCCAAATCTTTGAGTTAAGCTAAAGACGTACTTGAATGAAAATTTAAGCTCGTGCTTCACCGCTCCTTTTGTAGAGTTATTTATCTTTCGATATGTTGCTGTAACAGGTCTCGCTGGTTTAGGCTTGGTTAAGTTATGATCAGGTTGTTTAGCAGTATCATATCTTGGAGCTATAGAATCACTTGTAATTGCTAACCTCAAATTTGTTCATTGTGAGGTAGACTTTCTGTAGTTTCATTACTGTCAGATTCAATTTCACTTCAGTTTATCTGTGTAGTTGTTGCTTTCATCTGGGGCCTATCAATCATTCTACAAAAGTTAGTCCATAATCTTACTTGGGAGTAATTCTTTGCGTCTGATTTTTAACTGTTGGCATCACTTTCTCTCCTGTAAAAGCAAAATTTATGATTCTATATATGAATTCTTTAGATTACTTATGCTGGTTTGTAGGATGATACTTGAAAGCTGATCCTGTTGCACTAGAAGTTTAGAAAAAACCTTACCTAAGACCTTTACTCCTAGCAGTTTTTGGTCTCAACCTTTTACAACTCCCTTTATTTCTTTCTTTGACTTATTTTGCGGGTATTTTGATTAGATGAAGAGTTCTTTCATTTCCAGAGCTCCTTGTTTCTTAAGCTTTGTTTCATTTTATTCAATTTATGAATAGTTTTTTGGGGTTTTGGGGTTTTGGGGTTTTGGGG